GTACACATGCATGTGCTATGGTGCACTTATGGAGGTCAAAGGACAGCATTTAGGAGTTGGTTCTGTCCTTCCACCATGTGGGTCTCGGGACTAGAACTTGGGCTGTCAGGCTTGGTGGCCAGTACCTTTAACTGCTGACCATCTTGCTGGCCCCAAGGGCAATTAGGAAATTTAGTGTTTAAGGAAGATGCAAAAGACTTCACTAGGAACCAAGAACCCCAGAAGACACACCAAAGCAAAAGGCATGAGCCGGACTCTCAAAGGTCCTGCTTTGGCGTTAGAGTCATTCTACATGAAACAGTCATCTGGGCCTCTAGTACATCGTAGGAGGATTTTGAAATCAGTGTTCATAAAGGCGCTGGCATAGAGGCACCTAAGGACTGACTGTCTTAGACTTGTCCCTCATCCTCTTTGCTTTTGCATGATTTTCATCCTTTGACACTATTGATGAAAAATTTCTACTGGGAGTTTGAACTACATTAGCACGCTACTTAATAGCTAGAGAGGTGATTAGGTTTTTTGCTAAAGGCTAGTTAACAAATAAAAAGGGCACAGGGAAGGGGGTCAGTGGGTAAAGGTGCTTGCCTCCAAGCCTGCTAACCCGAGTTCAATCTCCAGTGGAGGAAGAGAACCAACTATCAGAATCTCTGCTTTGACTTCCACATACATACCATGCTACACATGCACCATCCCCCATGCACACAATAAACAAACAATGTAAAAAATTTTAAAAGCAAGAGGCAGAAAAGAGATCTGGCTTAGATTAAAGAAGGGGCCACCCAGATGGTAAATCTGTAGGAAAGTCACTGAAAGAAGTTTGGAGCAGAAACCTCCAGGGTCTTACAATGATGGGAAACTTCCCTAACTCCTAAAAGGTTCATAGTTTCTCATTTCAGACAAAATGCACGTGTCCCTTTATCATGCTGTCCAAATAATCATTGGAAAGTCATCATTTTATTTGAGTAATATAAAAGAGCAAGGCCCTTTTTTTTTTTTAGCACTTTCTCATTTCAGAGTGTGGAAACAGGGCATGTTTATTACTCCCCAAAGACCTCTCTTGTGATTGGGAAACTTCCATTCTGAACAGTCAACGTGGACACGACATAGAGGCCAGTCTTTCTTCTCTGCTCCATTAACTCCTTCTCTCCCACTTCCTGACCCTGCAACTTAAGTTTGTTGCTTTGGCCATAGCCAAACCAAACCAAACCAAAGCAAACACTGTTATAGGACCTTCTTTCCTGTGTCTCTTTTTCACCTAAAACCTCACCTCTCCAAACCCCTTAGAGAATAAGTCCTTTGTGATAATGAGTTGTTATTGAGGTCTTAGCCATTTAAGCATCACACTGGAAACAGAAAAAGAAGAACTCATGCCAGATGAAACCCTTCCCCAGCTGTGTCAGCAGTAGCTCCCCACAAACAACATGAACAGCCCTAAAATCTCGTGGAATTTTGGTATGAGATGTGGCAAAACAATGCCTCCTTTTCTTGGCTCTCTGAATGTTGTAGAGACTGAACAACCATTGTGATGGCTAATCTTGGTTGTCAACTTGGCACACCAGGGAAGAGGGAACCTCAGTTGAGGAATCACCCCCATCATGCTAGCCACTGGACATGTCTGTGGGTTACTTTCTGGATTTCTGATTGATGTAGGAGGTAAGAGAGCCCTAGCTATGAGCACAACCATCTCTAGGCAAGTGGGCCTCAGCTGGTAAGAGGGGCTGGAGAGAAGGCTCAGCCACTAAGGGCACTGGCTGCTCTTGCAGAAGTCCTCTGGTTGAGGTTCATAGCAGCCGCATGGCATCTCAAAACCATCTAGAACTCAAGTTCTAGCAGATCCCATGCCCCCTCTGACTTCTGTGGGCACCGGGCATGTGTGTTCACAGACATACATGCAGGCAAAACACTCATACACATAAAATAACTAACTCTAAGGGAAGAAAGGAAGGAAGGAACAGGGGAGGGAGAGAGCAGAACATGAGCCTGGAAGTGAGCCAGTAAGCAGCCTTCCTCTGTGGCCTCTGCTTCAGTTCCTGCCTCCAGGTTCCTGCCTTGGCTTCCATCTATGACATACTATAACCCAAATAAACCATTTCCTCCTTCAGTTGGTTTTGGTCAGTGTTTTACCAGAGAAGCAAGCTAGAAAAAGCACAATGATTCGCTCTTAGGACTGTGCAGAAGCAAGAGTCAGTAGGAAGTGGATGAAGATCTGAGCCTACAGCAAAGAAAGAATTATAGTGTGTGAGACATCTGTTTTCAAATGACCGATTTCCAGCTAGGTTAACATTTGCTTGCATTTTGATAGTGAGCTGGATTATGTGAGTCATTAAGGCCATAATGTTTAGAAAATTACAGACCTAAGAAGGTTTACACATACATTTCTTTTTTTAAATTATTTATTTTTATATCATGTGCATTGGTGTTTTGCCTACATGTGTGTCTGTATGAGGGTGTCAGATCCCCTGGAATTGGAGTTACAGACAGTTGTGAGCTGCCGTATGGGAGCTGGGGATTGAACCTGGGTCCAGTGCTCTTAACTGCTGAGCCATCTTTCCAGACCTGACATTTCTTATATCTGTATTTCTTATATGTGAAGAAGTAATTAAAACATCAACCAGGTGTGTGTATGAAATTCTACAAGCCCTCAGATATAGGGAGTAATACATTAGGACTTTTGAAGATGTATCCTTTCAAACACACTCCCATAGCAAGAAAAAAAACAAAAAACAAAAAAAAACAACCCTTTTGAAAAAACCATTCTGCCATGCATTCTTACTTAATTTGCATTTATTATTATTATTATTATTATTATTGTTATTATTATTATTTGGGTTTTTGAGACAAGGTTTCTAACTGTATAGCCCTGGCTGTCCTAGACTTATCCTGTGGACCAGGCTGGCCTCAAACTCACAGAGATCTACCTGCCTCTACCTCCCAAGTGCTGGGATTAAAGGCATGCACCACCATTGTGTAGATGTAATGGTCTTATTAAATAAGAAACACAGAGCCAAATGTAGAGTTAAAAGCCCAAGAGGTCAGAGCAGTAGCTAAGAGCTGAGACTAAAACCCTTTCTTACCACTCGCTGCCGTCCTTCACCTCAGAAAGAGAGCTACTTCCTGTGTATCTGTCTTTTTATAGACTTTCTGTTCTGCCTTCTCATTGGTTGTAAACCCAACTACATGACCTCTTCATCACTGCCTGTCTACACAGACCTCCAGGTCTTCTATGGTTGGTATTGAGATTAAAGGTGTGTGTCTCCATGCTGGTGGTGTCCTTGAACACACAGAGATCTGCCTGTCATGTGATTGGGATTAAGGGCGTGTGCTACCACTGCCAGACTTCTGCTATGGCTTGCTATTAGCTCTGACCCCCAGGCAACTTTATTTATTAACATACAAATAAAATCACATTTCAGCACAAATAAAATATCACCATACCATGGCTATTAATTTATTTTCAATTGAAGCCAAAAAGATAAACACATTTCAGACCTTTTAAATATTGCAGCTTTTATTAAATTTACAGAAGAAGAAAAGGTTAAGTATTAATTTTGTTGAATCCAGTGGTAAATCTTCTGAGACTAGACATTGGAATTATTTCAAGTTAAAGAGCTTTGTATTAGTAGAAGCACATAAATATTTTATGTAACTTAAGATAATAGAGCTTTGCATTAGTAGAAATGTATAAATATTTGGTATAATTTAAGATAATGTTGAATATTTAGAAAAGTGCTATATTATTAGAATATGAGTGAAGTAAGAGCCAGAGGCAGTGGAGGACTCCAAGGCAACAGTGTCTTCCAGACACAGCAGGGTTGATGTGCATATGAACTCACAGAGTCTGTGACAGCACTCATATGACCTGCACAATTTTAGCGGGACAAATTCCAACATGGAAAGGGGAAAGTGGGCACAAAGTCTCACCACCAACCAAGAATCTATTTGCAGTTGATAGCTATTGGAAGAGGGAGAATCAGTTTTCTTCAGTGGAGTGACACTGGCTATTTCAAACATACTCTAGGCCAGGCCCCATGCTCAGGATTGGTTGGCCAACACAAAATGGACTCCATGTATTTTTGTGTGTGTGTGTGTGTGTGTGTGTGTGTGTGTGTGTGTGTGTATGTATGTGTGTGTGTGTGTGTGTGTGTGTGTGTGTGTGTGTGTGTGTGTATGTGTGTGTGTGTGTGTGTGCTTTTTTTGGGGAGGTGGTTTGATTTTTTTAAGAGAAAGAAAGAACATGAAATTATATAGATAGGGAGAAAGTAGGGTATGGGGGAGGAGAAAGATGACCAAAATCTGTTGTATGAAAAAGTTTTTAAAATAAAAAGGAAAGATAATATTTTTTTTAAAAAAATGATTTTGTTAATGAGAAAAAAGCTAGTTCATTCAGATAGTTTGTTGTGAAGATGTTTCTGTTAAGGAAGATCATAAGGAGATGGCTCAGTGAGTGAATTGCCTGATTAACAAGAATGAGGACCTGATGCTGGTTCCCCAAGCACCCATGTAAAAGGCTGGGTGTGTCAGCACACATCTGTGACTCTACATAGGAGGTAAGCCAAGACAGGCAGATCCCTGGAGTGTGTGGCTCGTCAGTCTAGGCAAGGGGTGAGCTCGGGTTTCAGTAAGAGACCCTGTTTCCAAAAATAAGGTGAAGAGCTATTGAGAAAGACACTTGACAAAGACCTCTGGCCTCCACACACGCATATACATGTGGTCCTGCATATACACACATACACGCCCAGACACAAAGAACACTTAAACTACAATTTCCCTTCTTTAATTTACAGATGTTAATATATAGGTAACCTGGACTTAGTGCTGAATTCTGGTTGCTAGCTAGGGTATTAACCATCCTAAGGAATAGACATTCCATAGCAAGGACTGCAGAGGAAATGTTCCCATATCTCCATCCACTTAACTCCTATGTTAGCTATAACTTGTGTGCAATATGACATTCAAAAACAAATGTATTCACTGTTTGATGCCTTCTTTGATTACTTTAGGACCCCCCAAAAAGCCATTTTGTCTTAATTGCTGGGGAGCCATTAAGAGAACCAGTTGTCCAACATGGTAAGTCCAAAATTTTGATGGTTTTCCTGGCTGACATTCTTTTCCTTTGATGCGCGCGTGTGCGTGTGTGTGTGTGTGTGTGTGTGTGTGTGTGTGTGTGTGTGTGTGTGTGTTGTATTATCAGGAAGTCATTTTCCCACTTTCAGAGGAAAATATGTACATGGTGTTTATGTCTACACTCATCTCTTTTTGGAAAAGACATTTTCTAAATACCTATGATGTATAATAGATTGATCTTAGATCTGTGGGAAGAATGAAAACTCTTTTTGATTTTGTCATAAGGGTTTTCAACTTGAAGGGAAAAAAGTCTTCGTTGTCTACTAGGGACATGGATATCATTTAACTAAAATAACAGTGGTTTCAATACTGTTTTGTGTTGCTATAATAGTATACACGAGACTGAGTAACTTCTATTTTTATTTTATTTTATTTTATTTATTTTTTTTTTTGGTTTTTCGAGACAGGGTTTCTCTGTGTAGCTTTGCGCCTTTCCTGGAACTCACTTGGTAGCCCAGGCTGGCTTCGAACTCACAGAGATCCACCTGGCTCTGCCTCCCGAGTGCTGGGATTAAAGGCGTGCGCCACCACCGCCCAGCATGAGACTGAGTAACTTCTAAGGAAAAGAAATTTATTTTGGTAGGCGTCACTCGAGGCTTGGAAGTCCAACAACATGTGTGTGTGTGTGTGTGTGTGTGTGTGTGTGTGTGTGTGTGTGTGTGTGTGAAGAGCCTCATGTTGTTTCAACTCTTGATAGAAAGTAGAAAGGCAAATGGGTATATTCTTGAGAGACAAAACTTGAGGGGTAGATATGCTTCATAACAATCTGCTGCTGTGGTAATAAAGCCAGTCTCTCCTTGCACAAAAAATTAAGCCAGTCCCACAAGAGTGAGAACTTACCCACTGGAAAAACTTTTACCTCATCTTTGTGATCTAATCGCCTTTTGATGGTCCCAGCTCCCAATACTGCCCAAGGACAATCAGGTTTCAATATGAATTGTGGAGGGGAAAATCAATATTCAAGTCAACACCATCCTTGTAATCTCTTATTTTTTAGTGAAAAATATGAGCCTCTTAGGAATAGTACTTCTTTGAAAATTTTTATAATAGAGGGGAGCTGGAAGCTTGGCAGTACATGCTGCACTTGCAGAGGAGGCAAATTTAGTCCCCAGCTCCACAACATCTAATTTCCTCTTCTGGCCTCCTTGGGCATCTGCACATGCATGTGCACACATACTCATGTACACACACACACACACACACACACACACACACACACACACACACACATACACACACACTTAAAAATAAAATAAATATTTTTTAAAGAAAAAGAAATAGAGTTAATTATTGTATGGAAGAGATAGTACTGTAGTTGAAGGCAAAAAAAAAAATACTGACTCTGGTACATAATCACTTTGGATCTTGATGTCTCTGTATCATTGGCATTTGATTAAATGAGAAACACCTAGAACCCAATTTATTATTTTTACCTTTGTCATTAAATTAGACATGATTTAAGATCTCATTGTATTCCATTACTTTGGCATGAATTCCAAGGCATACACAATGATCTCAGATAAGCCAGCTAGTTATAAATTTAAATAACACTGAATATTTAGAAAATATTATTTTTTGTTCTAGCAGTAATTTAGGGGGAATATTAAATCATATGCCCCCAGCTTGTGACATCTCACGTTAATTTTGCACACTTCAAAATTTCACTCCCAAGGTTCATAGCCCCTTCTTCCTTTTGTCAGGACTAAATAAAATTGTTCTTTGGCAAAGAAAGCTACAAACAAATGGGGTTGGGTCGTCATCTAGTCATAGACTGGAATCTGTATAGGAAAAGAATGTTTGGGATGAAAACCTTTTATGTTAGGCTCTTCCCTCCATAGCAGTAATGAGAAACCAAAGTCCAGTTGAATGAAGATGACAAAGCAAAACTGTAGGCACTGTGCCTGTAAATCCTCTTCCAGAGCCTCTGAGCACTTGTCAGCACAAGCCCACATTAGTCAGACAAAATAGATATATGTCTCTTGAACTGTCAGTTACTGAGAGACAAAGCATTTTGTTTGGTTCGCCTAATTTGCTTTTCTTTTTAAGTTGTTTTTTTAACCTTTTTCATATTCAAAGGCAGCCACAAACATCTTGAGAGTATTTGGGGACTGGTTGCGTTTCTGTGAATTATTAATGCCCTGCTCCACTTGTCATTGAGGGTTCTTAATGATGACATTAGGTAAAGATGTCACAGCATGTTGAATTAGAAAAGAACCTTACTCTAGTGGAGTTATGTCCCTCCTACAAGTGAGAAAAAAAATGCAGACATTTCATTTTCTTAACGTATACTTTCATACCATTTACTGTTTACTAAGTATCAGTCAGAGTGTTTTTCAAGTGTTAATTTATTTAATCTTCAAAACAACCCTGAACGTTTGACTGGGGTGACAAGGGAATGATAAAACGACAGACACATAGACACACATAGAGAAAGCTGGAATTGGGTGGCCTGTACTTCATCTGATGGAGATCTACCTACTATGCACCAACCCAGAACCTCAGCAAGTTAATTATGTCCAGCATAGCGGGAAGAGTTAGCTCTTGTCTGTGGGAGGTCTCTGTAGGGGAGCAGTCTCAGGTTGCAATCTTCCAGGATGAGGAAGCTGTGGTTATTAGTTTTTGCATACACTGCCATGTCCTCACACAAACCAGAGGAAGACTTGCCAATTTCCTGAGCCTGACTTAAGGTTTTGCCAGTTCCCATGAGTTGGAGACATTGGTCCTTGTCAATAATAGATATTCACTCAAGGCATCCCCCTTTCTGCATAAGTCTTAGGTGACCCAAAGACAGTTTATAAAACTGAGAGATGCCGGGCGGTGGTGGCGCGCGCCTTTAATCCCAGCACTCGGGAGGCAGAGGCAGGCGGATCTCTGTGAGTTCGAGGCCAGCCTGGGCTACCAAGTGAGTTCCAGGAAAGGCGCAAAGCTACACAGAGAAACCCTGTCTTGAAAAACCAAAAAAAAAAAAACAAAAAACAAAAAAACTGAGAGACATGGGATGGTATCAAAAATTGAATATAGAAATGTACTACAGAAAAAGAGTTGAGGTGTAATAGTCGTGGGGTTCTGCCTGGGGAAACCATAGGAAAATTATTGCTTATCAGGTCAGTCCTTGACTCAATATTTGATTCGTTTGACCCATAAAATCTAAAGTGTACATTCCCAGGCCCTTTTCTGAATAAAAAATCAGTTGACCCTAAGAAATATTTTTTAAAGTGCTTCTTGACTTGAAATTTATTAGTAAAATTTATTAAAGCCATGGTGCAGTGGTCCTTGGCAAGAAGATGTCACACTAGCGTGATGTACCTTTTGGAATGGTGGGTGAATAAGAGATTATCAAAATGAAAGACAATAGAAGCAGAAAAAGAAAAGTTTACAGGAAGATAAAAACACCTTTCATTGCAAGCACATGATAGTGACTCATGACAGGAAGGAGAAACTAGCCAAACTTAAAAACTTGACCCAACCTGTGGTTGCTATAGGGTACGTGGAGGTATCGTCTGGGGAACTGAAAAAGAATTGTTAATGTACAAGCTGTTCAGAAGCAGTTCAACCCCCTGTTTATTATCAGGAAAATGCTGCTAGTTTTCACAGCAGACTTAGAACCATCCCAGAGATACATAGCCCCACCCACTCCTTAGACAGACACCAAAACTCTGCTATGGTCTAGCTGATTCATAACACCAGGTTGGTTCAGTTCCTGACTTCAATTCATGTTGTACAAATAACAATGACAAAGAGTGTGGTGAATAAAGAGGTTGTCATGACTGGCGAGGAACCTACAGTGACCAGTGAGACCTAACCGTGTTTATCTAGGTTTGCTCTGTATGCTAACTTACACTCATATACAGTCCTAGCCACAAAACTCAAATTACAGTCCTGTAGGACTGAACACTGTAAAAAGAGACCGTTGCTGCCCAGATATTACTAGATTTTGTTTCAAATGAGGAGCTAAAGGAATACATACCACTTCAGTGGTAGAAGAAAATGTTATCACCCAGAACTTTGTAACTGTCTCTTTCTGCCCTAGGTCCATTTGTGATGAACACCAATGAAGAAATTTCTGAGGCCATTCTTGATTTCAGGAATGCAAAAAATGGTTTTGAGGGGGCCAAAACCTGGAAGTCAAAGATTGGAAACCTGTGAAGAGCTGAAATTCTGCCATTTGAATGGACTGACCATTCAATATATTCAATTTCCAAAGCTGGTTTAGCTGGTGCTTCTAAAGAATTTCACATTAAGCCGGGTGGTGGTGGCTCATGCCTTTAATCCTAGCACTTGGGAGGCAGAGACATGCAGATCTCTGAGTTTGAAGCCAGCCTGGTCTACAGGCCTGTTCCAGGACAGCTAGGGCTACACAGAGAAATCCTGTCTTGAAAACCCAAAAGTAAAAAATAAAAAAAGAATTCCACATTAAAATGAAAAGGTGGTTTTTGTAGTGAGTCATCAGGATGCATTATATACATGTATGAAATTGTCAAAAACAGATTTAACTATTTTAAAAAGGCAAAGTACAAACAATAAAAAATGGTAGTAGTATATGCAAATAATTCTAATTGTTACTTCTCTAAAAATCAATTTTCTTCCTTTTGATGGAAATTATTAAGCTATTAAAAACAATTGCTTATGTACATGTGCTTTTTATATGTGAGAAGATGCCCTTTTATTCTCTGCCTTTTGGGGTTTTCTTCGAGCATTTTTTCCTTCTTTCTGTGTCACTGGCGGCCACTATCTGAGCATCTTAAATTGTCCTACTGCAATTCAGCTGCCATCCCAGCCATCAGAACTGTGTTCTGGGTTTCATGTTACAGGTTATCTGCTTGAAGAAACACAGCAGTCCTGACCATGTGAGTCAGCTTTGAAAACTGCCCCGCTATTGCTAGGGACACAGCAGGATTCCAGCCAAGACTTCCCTGCAATTTTCTGCCAAAGTCTGTGTCCGATTTAAGACACATGCTCCTGCGCGCTTCCTTGAAGATTGTGAAAACGTTTTAATCCATAGTTAGATTCCAGCCTGCTGTAGCTGCAAGTGTCGGTCACACCACCTCCTTTTATAAAGCAGCCACAACCTAGGGCATAGGGTGGGGATTTTTTTTCTTTCAACTTCTGGACATGAAATGCCTGTGGAGTATTTTCTAGCTTAAAGTAGAAGACATGGCCACCTCCTGATTATTTTTGCAGCAGGAATCTTTACAATTTTTTTTTGTCTTTCTCCCATACTAAGATTGTGTGTGGCAGGGGGTGTCCCTTGGCTAACTCAAGTCATTTCATTGGATTTTGATTACAACTGATCATGTGATTTTCCATGTAAAGTTTCGGGGTTTCGAACTTTGCTTCTGGAGAATGTCTTGCAACACTTTTCAGTAGCTGCCTGGTATCAACTGCTTAGTCATCAGTGGACATTTAAAATATTCAAAATGTATAAAGAGTGGGCAGTGGTGAATATTCTCATGATGTCCTACATGTACCTGGTGCAGGGCTTCAATAGTGAACATGGACCAGTGAAGGTAGGTGAGCTTGATTTTTTCATAATGTTTCTTTTTGTTGGTTTTCACAGAAAAAGTCCTTTGCCCTCACTGTTGTTAAAACAGTATAAAAGCTCAGGCTACTCTTAGCCTGCATGTATTAGCGACTGCTTTGTTTCTTGGACTTAATCATTTTCTTGCCATGAGTGTATGAAAATGTATATGTGTAAGAAAATTTGTATGATGGCTTTTTATGTATTGTGTGTATTTGGAATGGGAATAGAGCACAAGCATTCTGGAAACGTTTGCTCCCAGTTCTGCCTCCTCATGGCACAGTGGCTTCTGATGAAGCTGGGATTCGTCTTTATGACACACACAATTTTATGGGCTGTTGGTTTTTAGGTTGGTTGTGAGCAACAAGGCTGAGTAATTTCTTCTGTAAATTGAAAATCACAGTGCTTTTCATGGATGTTTTCTGTTTGGTTCTGCAAATTACCAATCGCTACCATCCAGGAAAAAAAGTTTTCTTAGAGTCTGTTTTTGTTCTCGTGCATCTGCTTTTGAAAATGTGTATAAAATTAAGCAGTTGGCAAATCTTTGGTTCTATGAGCAAGCATCAAGGACAGCCCAAGAAATTGAGAACAATGCAAAAAAGATGAACTAGGGTGCTACTGACGGCCAGAACAACATTGCCACTCAATGTTGTGTATTTTAAAGCCTTTTTATTTTTTGAAAAGGACTCAAATGTAATTGTTTTGACTGGAATGCTACTAAATCATGACTGATTCAGAAATTTCTGGCTATGACCAGACAGAAATCAGATGTAGACTTGAGCTTTGTGGCATGCATTTTCAATAGGGGGACATATCACCACTCCCAGAGGGGAAAATTAGTTCATAAGGATGTTAACTAGTTTACATGGAAAGCACCATATGCATGTAGTCCATAATCAGGTAGTAAATCTTCACCCAAGCTTCATAGGGCAAGACTCAAAGGCTCCTGGCACTGGGATTCACATTTACAGTGGATTTCCTTTCACCTACAGCCTGAGATGGGGATCCAACATCAAGGCTGGTGGCAGTCACATAGAGCTGAGGACTGTCCTTTCTGCCATGTACATTTGGGACTTGCAAAGCTTGAAAGGTGCAGGCTGCTAGGCAAGAAACCTTTCTACCCCAGCACAATGCTGTTCAACATTTCACTTAACACTAGTCTTCAACCCTATTCCCCAGTGAAGTTTTCAATGCTTAGAATTTACTCTTTTATACACAGCTACCAGAATCCTCTCTGTGTCCCGGGTACAGTGAAATTTTACACGTTTTGAATTTACTTTTCCCATTGAAATTTCTTGAATGGGCAATGGAAGAAAGTGACTGCATTTTTATGTGACAGAAAACATGCCCTAACAGATGGCCGATTGGAGCCTATGTTTACTAACATGCCTCTCAATGTTTCTCTTACGTGCCCTACTTTCCCTTTGAACAGGGAAGCTACATCCGGGGAGTTTAGAGCCACCCAGCCCCCAGCTAAATTAGATCGTCTCTTATGTGAAGAAAGTGTTGCCTGTAGTTAGATAGAAGTTTGGGGCTACACATGACTGGGTTCTGAGACATAACGACAGACATCATTTTGCTTTATATATTCTCTTCCCCCTCCCCACCTCTTCAAAAGAAAACAAAACCAAAGAATTCTTTTGTTGTTTTGTTTGAGATAGGGTTTCTCTATGAAACAACCATGACTATCCTAGCATCTTCTTTGCAGACCAGGCTGGCCTCAAACTCAGAGATCCACCTGCCTCTGCCTCCCGAGTGCTAGGATTAAAGGCATGTGCTACCACTGCCTGGCTAGAAATCTATTTCTTTTTTTAAAAATATTTTTATTTTATAATTAACTTAATTTCACATATCAGCCATGGATTCCCCCGTCCTCCCTCCTCCCACTCCCCAGCCCTCCCCCCCCATCCACTCCCCATTGCAACCTCCTCCAATCATCCTGAGTGAGGTAACCCAGACTCAGAAAGACAAACATGGTATGTACTCATTCATAAGTGGATACTAGATGAAATCTATTTCTTAACATGGATATTTTCTTGTTTAAATTAAAATTTAGCATAAAAATATATTCAGAGTAGTAATGGTTTAGGACACTGACACTGATTAGTTTTTGCTTTAGATATAAGAATATTCATTTGTTATACAATCGTTGTGGTCCTCCTTAGTACTAAGTTTATGAGAACATGCTTTTCTCTACTCTACCTTTTCTGACCACATCTGTCCCAGAATGGCTGTGATGCCAAATCTATTTCCATGTTGCCCCCTTCCCCTGGTCTGAACATTACTTCCTAGCTTAGAGAATTATCCTGCTTGGTTTTTTTGTTTTGTTTTGTTTTTTCAGCTTAGACAGGCAGAGACTATGGTACACTTCTATGAATCTGTGAACATTTTTCTTCAACTATAAGCATGCAGATAGCTACTACCACCTAGGACAATTGTACTTAATGCCATTCAAGTGAAAGACATCTTCATTTAACTAGTCTTGCAGCTTATGCTTGGAAAACTAGCTGTTTGGGGTCAACAATGCTTGGAAAGTGTGAGCTGAGGAAAACCTTTGCAAAAATCTTAACATTTTCTTTGCAAAACAAAGATCTGGGGAGATTGTTCAGTGGTTAGGAGCACTTCTTTCTCTTACAAAAGCCTCAGGTTCAGTTCCCAGTGGCTCACAACCATCTCTAGCACCAATTCCAGGGGATTCGATGCCTTCTGACCTCACATACACCAGGCACACATGTGGTGAACATACATTCAGAAAAAAATACCCAGACACATAAATCTTCAAAAAAATTTTTTAGTTAAAAAAACCCCTAATTGACTCATTAATAAAATCAGATTGCTGACTAGGTGTGGGGTTTATTTCAAGTTCTATTTTCTCAAGCTCTTTATACACTTGAGATTAACAGAGATAGTTTCCCAAGGTATGCACTTTACAACAGTTTATGGTATACATCTAATCACAATATTGTACCCTCTAGACACTTAGTAAATAATTACCAACAGCCTTATGCTCTTGCCATTCAACATGTCCTTCTAGCCAACATGATTTCTGGCTGATCTAATAAATAATTGTTGTCACCAGGTATGTTGGAAGTCATTATAAGATACTGATGAAGTTAGCTTCTATACATCTTTTCCATGGTGCTATGAAGCCCTGTCAGTATGGTAATAGAGGATCAATTCTAGGTCATGATAGCTTTCAGAACTCTTTTGAAAGAGTTTCTTTCTTCTTCAGCTTTACTCTATACTATCTTTTTAGGCATCGAGCTTGTAATGTCTATAGAAGGGTATTGTTAGATGATGGAGTCATTCAGTGCTACATTAGATTAGAGTAAGTCCCAAATCCACATGGCTCACAAGACTTCATCACCTTCATGCCATTTGACTTCTCTTGAAATGGTCTAGGAAATAACTTGCAGGAGAGTTTCCTGGTTTTGTTGTTAGGCGAGCCAGTGAGGTCTTGTCTGATTGTTCTGTCTCGCCATGAATTCAGTTACAGTTTTTATATCACTCTAAGATGTTGTAGTACCCAAGATACAATAGAACCTTACATCCTATGTATAATCCTTCCTTGTATGGCTCATTTAAATTGAAAAATCCTGACTTAACACCTGTGCATAAAATGTTGCTATAAACATCACAAAGATAATTTGTGAAATAGAAACAAGGTATTTGTATATACAAATGGTCCCGTAAAAGAACCCTTGGTAAAAAGACCTGGATCTCTCAGACACAAATATTTCCACAGTTGGACAAAGGCAGTAGAGAAATAGGGATACAAAGGACAGTAAAATTGTTCCTCAGCAATATCTAGGGGTCAGCTCTTTTTTTTTTTAAGAGATTTATTTCATTTTAAGCTTTTTTTGGGTGTGATGTGCACATGAGTGTGGGTACCTGCAGAGGCCAGAAGAGGGTGCTATATCCTCTGGATTTGGAGTCACCAGTAGTTGTTAACCACCTAACTTGGCTAATGGGAACCAAACTGTTCTTTGCAACATCAGCAAATACTCTTAACCACTGAGCCATCTCTCCATCCCGTATAACTCATTTTTATCATATGATATGAGCAGAGAGTGGGAGTTTAGCATAAGTGGGAATGAATTGGGATGAAAGGAGACAATAAAATGAGCATTTTTGCTTAGGTTGTTTTTATGGTGGCAAATCCATTTTTCTCTCTCTTGCTTTTTGTTCTTATAGTCTAAGATACTAGAGCATTATAAATCAAAGGCATCCTGGGGCATCTTCAGCATCATGAAAGCCTTGACTGGCTGAGATGTCCTAACCCATAAAGACTGTCCTGTATCTCTCATTACAACTTTCCAATATTTGATAACTCACTAACTTTTTCAGCAGATATTTATTGAGTGTCTACTGTGTCTAGGATCTGAGAATGCAGTGAGAAATAACTATTTCAGCTCTCTTAGAATGCATATTTTGATTGTGCTTGGTAGAAGTGGACAATATGCAAATCGGTAACATGTCAGGGACAGTAATAATGAAAAGCACTCAAATGAAGGAGGGGACACAGAATGAAATAAAGGGGGAGATTCTTCCAATTCAGTTATATTTGTGCACAGTACTGAAAGAAGTGAAGCAGGCAGAGGTCATCATCAGGGTAGTGACTGAAGAGGGAATAGCTTGGATATTCTGAGGATGAGCCAGAGAACTAGAGTGGCTGGTGGAAGGTAAGCTGAGCTCAGAAGTGCAGCTGTCAGGGATGGAAAAGTAGCCAGAGATCATGCAGGTGGGGTGAGCTCCAATAGAACTTTAGAGACACTACAATTCTAATTTTATACACCAGGAAACCTTGTTTTCATTCATTTCAACCTTTTAAAATGCAAAAGCACGTGCTTAAGTCACAGACTGTTCAAAAACAGGCTGCACACTGGATGTGGCTCCTGGGTCACAGTTTACATACAGTGTTCTGTGTTACACTTATTTATTTTATTGACGGCATACACCTGTACCTGACATTTTGTGGTGTGTTTGTCCTGGTTTATTACACCCTCACCAGTAGGATGAAAACTTTTCAACAAAGGAGTGTTTCGTTGTCTTGTTGATGGCATTGTCCCAGCCACCACCTTGCAAAGCCTGTCACACAGAATATGCTGAAGGCAGGGTTTGTTGGCTGGTTGATAGACTAGTCTTGGAGGATCCTGAGACAGCCAGGTGAAGCACAACACTAAATGGTCTCTGGCATCTATCGTCACCATGGCTTGCCTGATTTCATGATTTTTATAAAAACCAAAAGCACTTTTTGAGGCAGTGTATTTACCCTGTGATATTTTACTGTGGACATGGTGGGTAAGATTTAGGTGAATATGTCCAAGAATCCTGAAATGTCCTTCTAGTCTTAGGCCATCCAATAGGGTGTTCACTTCTAGAACCCAAAGTTAGAGTGGAGTCACTTTAGCCCATTATTTCAGCCTGATGGCCACAGAAAGTTACACAAAGCAGCATCTAGCCACACAGTGTCTCTGTGCAC